TAATTTTTCCTCGCCACACCAGGGTGTTTTCTTTTCCTTCCGTGGTGTTTGGTATTTGAATGCAAAAACATTTATAAATTAACCGTGAACACCAGAGCACGAAACAATAGTAACATTGGGTAAGTCATGAGTCATCACTAACCGCCACACTCAACTGTCCTACGATGGCGACTTTGGCCTTTAGTTTCTGTGTAAAAACAACAAAGTCGACAAACAAGCAAACAAACTTTAAAAAACCCAAAAACAAAACAAAAACAGCAGCCCACTATGACGTATAATATGATGTGCTTCACTTTGTTTCATATTTTATCTCCACTGAGCCCATTGTTGAATTCAAAAGAACACTGTGTCAAGTTTTAGTCAGAGTTTTACGACTCTTGCAACACTATAAGGTAAAATACGTGCCGAAGAACAGTTGGTTACAAGAGAGTAACATACACAAAAAAGAAAGAGGCGAGATAAGGACGATAACGTCTGATGTTTTATAGGAAAGAAGGAGCATACCACACCAGAGTATCCGCCAACCAACCACAAACATTTTGTCTAAAAAAGCTTTCAAGGATAACAGATCGAGGTTTTTTTCGTAAAATATTACGGCACTTGCAACACAATAAGGTCATATAAGTGCAGAAGATTAGAGGTTTTACAAGAGAGTAACAAACACAAAATAGAAGGTGGGGAAATAGAGACGGTAGATGTTTGATAGGAAAAAAGGAGCAAACTGCTACAAAGCACCCGTCAACCAACCACGAGTGTTTTGTCCAGAAAAGCTTTCAAGGATAACAGAACGAGGGTGTAGTGTGAAACACAAACGTTTTATTGACGCCGGGGATGCTGTAAAATATGACACATGAAAAACAAACGGGCGTACATGTATTCACTCAAGAAAACAGGTTTCGTCGTATCACGTGACATGTCTTACTCGCTGACGGGAGAAACATTCTATTTATAGCACACGGGAGGAAAACAATAACCAAACGTAACGACCAATATACATAATATTGTACATCCTCATCCCATCCAGTACCCCTCTCCTTGAAAATAAAATCAAAGCAAAAACAAACGATAAAAACTTGAACTCAAACGTTAAGGGATATTTTGTAGGGGTCTTCACAACGGAACCGTAGAGAAAACAAACTAGATCCAATACCCAGTGCACAATGCCAGTCCATTTCTTTTCATTGGTTCGGGGCCTGCCAAATATTTCTCCATGTAGGGGGAAAAGTTGCCATTTTGTCAAAATTGGACCAACTCCAACTTCATAAATATTTTGATTGAGAACCTTTGTTTCTCAAAGTTGCGAGGCGAATCGATAGAATTGGGCCAAAACGGTAAATGTTTCCCATCCATAGAGAGACATCTGACTAGATCCGACCCGATGCGACTGAGTTCGATTTGCAGAGCGCACTGGGCTTAAGGATGAAATCAGAATCCTTACAAAGATTGAATCTATCATGTATAAACGTAGAAGCAATTAATGGTATGGTCATTATTCTGAAAACATTTTTCAAGAACAGTCGTTTCTTATATATTAGAAATAAAATTACTGTCACAACTCTTTAAATAAACGCTAAGTGTGTATCAAATCATAAAACATAATATGATATGAAGTCATCGTAAAATGTTTACATGTTTTATGGAACGGGCAGCGTTATATTTATTAATCTGCGTTGTAGAAAGGCAAAGTGTGTTTTGTTCGTGGAAAGTTAAGTGTTGTAGAAGAATCTCTCCC